ACGTTGTTGACTGGAATGCTTACCTCATTGACAATCATAGCACACAAGTGATTTTGGAAGGGGTTGGTTTACCTTGAAAGTCATGTCTACCCTGTGACCCAGTGGCAACCGTGGTCGAATGGCGAAACGGTGAGATGTCGCCACGACGCTAGTGACCTGGTCTCTAATGCTGCTGGTAGGGGGGAGTACCGAAAAGACGATGGTGAGGCGAGGTCAAAACTGAAGAAAATTATTTTAGAGTCAAGGTTAATTGATATTCATTAGCATTGCGGGGCCTACTCATATTATTATGGTAGAAAGTCCACTATCAGTCCTAATATCACCATAGGCGACCTAGAATGACCGAGTTCTTATTCATAAAAGCATAGGTTATTACCGAGTAAGTAGCATATTTGGATTATGTTGAGGCTAAATAGCAGACATTGACATCAGCAAGGCGGATTAATATATTCAACCTGGTCTTCACTACATTATTTCGAGTTTTATAGAAACCCAGACGTCGACGGGTCTGGTACAAAAAGGCTCGGCAAAGCTTCGGCGTGCCAGAACGGTCTCACCACTGCCACTACCACGACCACTCTGCAATCTCCGATTCTGGCCTACGAGTCAGGCAGACTAGAAGAGCCGACCGGTGTAGGCGGCCAAACACTGGCTTCCGGGGCCTGGCCCTTTCGACTCACTTCGCCTGCACCGCATTCGGCGTTAACAAAGCCGAAATCGGCGGCCGAGCCTGGATCAAGACCCGAAAAAACTGGGGTTAGAGGCGCCAGAGACTGTGTGCCCTCGGCGTCGCAGAATTTTCCAGCGCCGGTTAAGCACAACGATGAGACTGGTGGCAGAGAAAACAGCCACCGTAGGGCAAACACTGCAATTGGAGGCCCCAGTCTGGCCTCAGGCATAACAAAGAAGTTTGTCTTTGTAAAATACGGTGATGGCGATAATGAAGGTAAGTGCTCAGAGCTGACCGTGGGCAGTCGTCTTCGAGGGGTTCAATGGACTACGGCTGACTATGCCAAGCTGCAACGTGTTCAGGTCACCATTCAACAAATAGATCAGGACATTTCTATGATGGACGAGCTGTGCTCCCGATTTGGGCTGTCTGAGTCTATTCACTCGTCAGATTCTAGGCTGTCCGAGTCTGTCCCCTCGCCAGATTTTAGGCTGTCCCAGCATCTCGAGACTGACGAGCCACAGGAGCCGGATTGCGAGGCGAAGTCGCCCGTGACCAACAGACGGAGTCAGGTCATCTCTCCGCCCAGGTTAGAGGCAACCACGTACACCGGAGAGACGTGTGCCCTGCATGAGGTTGTGGTACAGAGCTCCTGCACCACGTCTCGCCCACTCCCCAGTCGGCCTCAGCACCACATCACCACCGGCAGGACTCACCTGGCCCCGAGCGCAAGTGAGGTCACAACGAGCGTACCCCCTGTTGACGCCGGAGGCAAGACGACCGGAAACCGTGCGAACGTCATCCCGGGCCAGGTCGCCTGCCAGTTGGCGGGCCCCTACCGACTCGGCCTTTCACCCGCCGACATCTCAGCTCCGCGCCTCCAGACAACCACGTACTCAGAGGCGGTGACAGACCTGTCAACGGCGCGACGAGCACTCCGACCTGTCAAGCCCCCGGGCGCGATAGCACCTACAGACGCCGAGAGCAAATGCCTTCTGGGGCCTGTTGATTTGAAGGAAGACTGTGCTGTGGAGAAGGCGAATACAGCAACAAGCGACACGATCCCACCGATTGCCTCGCAAGCTAGAGACGATCACGAAGCTTTAGCGACCCCAATAAGCC